CGCACAGAGCTCTCTCAGGTGTCTCTCTCTCTTTCTTTCTCCCCTTTTTTTTGTGTGTGTCTCTCTCTCTCTCTCTCTCTCTCTCTCTCTCTCTCTCTCTCTCTCAACCTAGTACTTTCCATTTTGGCTAGACTTCCTGGTCCATGGCCCCTGGAATCCTGTCCCCATCTCTCCAACACTGAGGTTATGGCACACACCCCTACACATGACTTTTACATATGTGCTAAGGATATGAACTCAGGTCCTCGTGTTTGCACAGCACCTCTCCAACCTTCTCCTGATACTTCTAAGGAATGTGCCTCTGGGACATATCTCCTGGTTTTCCTGGGTTTAGAGTCCCTGGATCGGGAGTTCAGTCATACCAGACTTTCTTTGGGCTCCATAAAGACCTCATCTCTCATGTGGAACTTTTGGATCACTGACTGGCCCTCCAAGGTAGGTGGTCTCAGAGCCCCAAGGGATCTGGGATAGACCAGTAGATCATTCCTATTTAAAACAGCATTTCCCTGTTGTATGAATTTTAAAAAGCACAATAAAAAAATAAGATAAATAAAGACTTTGGGAATAGGGGAAAATAAATAAATAAATAAATAAATAAATAAATAAATAAATAATAAAAACAGCATTTCCCAAAGCCTGGGCCAGGCCTAGCATCCTGGGTGTGGGACCAACACAACTGCAGAGATCTAAACTCAGAAGCTTCTTGAAATTATTCAGTCTTCATCAGTGTGATAGGTTCAATGTACAGGCTTGTGTGTTTGAATACTCAGTCCCCAGCTAGTGATTCTGTTTGGGGAAATTGTGGAGCCTTTAGGTGGGGCCTGGCTGGGGGAGGTGGGTCACTAGGGGACAAGCCTTGAGGGTTATAGCCCTCCCTCTTCCAATGGAGCCTGTCCCTCTCTCTAATTGCTGAGATGTTAATAAGCCAGGCTGCAAGCTCTCACCACCTCATAAGGAGCCCCAAATACCAGGATGGACCATAACCCCTCAAGCCAAGAGCCAAAACCAGCCCTCCTGTAAGTGACTGCTGTACAGGCAGGAGGCTGCACATTTTCATTTTGAACTTGAGCTTGTTACTGGTCAGTGACATCACTGGCGTTGCCTGATACACATAACCAGCACTGTGTACAAGATGTCTATAGGTGCTATACAAGCCAGCCTCTTAGAAATGTAACTAGTACATGCTATGCATGTCAGAGCCTGGAACCCAGCCAGCGCACTCCTGCTTCTGTGACTGTTATGACGGGATGGAGGTGGAGGGTGGGGGAGATAAATCTATTGGTAGGAAAAAGTGAATACAGTTAAAGAAAAATAGGAAGTGAATTAATTGCAGGTGCTACTCAAATCCTTTTTTAAAAACGTTAAGGAAGCAAATGAATAAATCAAATCTGAGAAGAACTGACTTAAAGGACTCCAAATGCCTCTCATCCTCCTGCTACTAAATCCCTGGCCCCTAATAGATCACCCTCACCAACCCACAGCAGTGCTGGAGTTCACCATGTGCCTTTGGTGAGTCCCTTGACCTTCCAAGCCTCAGGTTACCCCTCTAAGCAATGGTCCAGCTCCACCAGCCTCATAATCCTAGTTTTTCCTGACCTCAACAAATGGTTTTCAAATGTCCTTCCCCATACTGTCTGCCTTTGAGGTGCTGAGGGTCCTTCAAAACCTTCCATACAACCCACCTATTCCACTCCTGGGTAGATACCTTACCATGGGTACCCATCCCTCTCCATATACACAATAAATAATGTAATTTTCTAAAATCACTGGTGTGCCAATCAACAAACACTTCCAGAGGATTCCCTGTGGGTCTACCCCAACACAGGGTAACAGAGAATTCTAACACCTGTGGACCAGGACCTATAGTTCCTGGTTGCAGGAAGAACTTAAAGAATGAAGAGAGAGCATCAATGTTCTACACGGCAGCTAATACTCAAAGAGCTCTGTGCATGCGAGCTATGACACCCTGGAGTTTCCCCAAATGTCCACTGCAGCATCGCCCATCCCACCAGCGCTTCCAAGAGGTTGTCCTTCCCCTGACAAGCATGCAGTCTATTTCTACTCCCTTTGAAACTGGATGGAATCTTGTGACCTCTCTGGTGGCCAGAAAGACCAAAATGACCCTCTGTGACCTCCAGGGCGGTGATCAGATGTGACCTTTTCCTCTAGAGATATTCAATGGGAACAGGCCGCCATCTTGTAAGGAAGCAAAATAGCCACACAGAGATGCCCTGCGTGTGGTTCCCACGATACTAGAGTTACAAGAGTCAGATCCTGTGCTCCGGCAAACTTACCAAGCCAGGCTGAGCCGCTCATCCTTAATAAGCCAATTTAAAAAGTCAAACTAATAGTTAAAAGCAGAAGGAAATTTAGTCAATGTGAACATAATGTGGGAAAAGAGAGAGAGATCAAGTGGATCCCTACTCTCACCCCCAGTCCGTCTTCCAGGATCTGGTTGTGAAGTTCAGGTTTAAGTAAAGAACGAGAGTTACGCCTTGCTAAGCGGTCCTGGTCAAGGTGTGGTCCCACCCATCACTGACCCATCATTTTCCTGACCCCAGTTCCTCCTGCAATGTGCTCTGACAAGTTGCAAGTCTCTTGTCAGGAGGCAAGCTCCCCCTCTGACTAGTCAGGTTTTAAATTATTTTCTTCTCCCAGCATGCGATTCCTAGGGGACTTCCAATTTCTTGGGGTCCATTGTTTCAATAGTCTGACAGCTGAACTGAGGGACAGCAGGGTCTTTTAGAATAGCCTCATTTCTGCCCGGCTGATAATAATACCATCTGACCCAACCAATTGAGGACTCAGCTATTGCCAGACACAAAAGCACACAAGCTTCTAGGTGATTCTCCAGCACCCAGCCTTTGAGCAGCTCCAACTGTCACAAAGTGGGGAACAAGGGTGTCCCTTTGCCATGCCAAAGTTGCAGATCTATAAGCAACCTAAATATAGCCACGTCCATGTGTCACCCACTAAAATTCAGGGTAGTTAGTTGCTCAACAATAGAAAACAATACATCTGCCTGTTAGAGTCCATGACTCTATGAAAAGAGTACAAGTTTCCCAAGTCAGAAAACTCAGGCTCAGTGACAGAGCAATGTCATTTGTCACATCCCCCAGATAACATAGTCCAGAATTTGTCCCAAATTCTGTCCAACCACAGAATTCTCAGAAATCACATGTGGTGTTGTTGTTGACATGATGGTCAGTATTTAAATTGAGAAAGAAGAATATTATTAGCAAAGGCCATAGGCCAAGGAACAAGTTCAGGCAGCCAACGGGGAAGATTGGCCATGGGAAGGAAGGTCACTCAAGGTCAAACTCTTCCCCTGGATCAGCCAGGGAGGCTCCTTGCTGTGTGACCATCACAGGTCAATCCATTGTTCTGCACTCAGCATCTAAACTGAGGGTCTGTGGGGGCAGGATCACCCCTCTAGCTTTTTTTATACCCATCCCTCCTTTAACACCAAAGAAGAGTCTCTTTTGGGGTGAGGGGAGAGTGGGTTTTTTTAATATAGGGTCTCATGTAGCTCATGATGGCCCTGATCTCACTATATAGCCAAGAATGATCTGAACTCTTGAACCTTTTGCCTCTACCTCCCAAGTGCTGGGATTATAGGTTTGTGCTACCATGCTCAGTGCATGTGGAGCTAAGAATCAAACCCAAGCACTCTACCAGTGGAGCTGTATCTCTAGCCTCTAGGAGGGACTATTGATTTGAAACCCTGAGTCCCCATTCCTTCTCTACCCCTACCCCCCAACCTCTACCCAACATACTCAGCCTGATTGACACAGATGAGATGCTGGGGCATTATCTCACTAAACCAGAGCAGCCTTCTGTATTACATCTCATTTTCTTCTCCCTTTTGCAGGAAGGACTGAGCCCTTCCATGTGTCATGAACTGAGAGCAGTGGGAGCATTCTGGTATTCTGGGAAATATTTCTTTTTAGTTTTCACTTTCTTGAGGGCTCCCAGCCTCTGGAGAGATAAATTAAATGCCACTTAGTATACACCATCACATCTATTCAACCTCACAGTCAAGCCATGTGGAGATTCTGAGATACTGCAGTGTGTGTGTGTGTGTGTGTGTGTGTGTGTGTGTTTCCTGTGGATTGAACCGCAGGCCTCATGCATGCTGGATAAGCACTGTACCACTGAGCTGTGTCCCTACCTGTATTAGTTAGGCAGGGCTCTCCAGAAAACAGAATCAATAGGATGAATATATATATATATTCCAGAAGGGGATTTATTAGATCAAATTATACAATAAGAGCTGAATAGTCCAATGATGGCTACACACTGGAGAGGCTGAGAACTCAGTAGCTGCTTAGTCAGTCCACAAGGCTGGACTCCTCCACAGCCGTAGTCTGATGCCGAAGGCCTGGAGGATTTCTGGAGAGTTGCTGGTCTTCAGTCCACATAGGAAAGTCAAAGAAGCTGGGCTCTAGTGGCAGGGAAGGACAGTGGCAGGAGCAATGGCAGGACAGAGGGACTCACCAGCAGGGGGTGAAGGCGGCCAGGGGCTGGAGAGATGACTCAGTGCTTAAAAGCTCTAGCTGGTCTTACAGAAGACCTGAGTTTGCTTACCAGCATCCATATGGTGGTTAACAACTGTCCCTAACTCAAGTTCCAGGGAACCCGATGCCCTCTTCAGGCCTCCTTGGGCATTGCACACATGTAGTGCACTTACATGCATCCAGGCAAAATAGCCATAGACTAAAAAAAAAAAAAAAAAATTAAATATTCTTTTTAAAAAGCTTCATACCAACCACTTACAGCTCACTTTCTGTGAACCTGGAACAGTGATCTCATCCCATGCTGGAACTATGGTCCCTTCCTGTGGGTCACAGCTGAGGTACCATCCAATGAGCTAAGCTGTGGTTTCCTCTTATGAACCTGGAGTTGCAGTCTCCTCCTGTGAGTTGGAGCCCCAGAAAATTATTGCTACTGATGCCATAAAAGTGGCACTTTTATCTTAAGGGTAATCAATAGCTGTCTAATTGGAATTAAGACCCACTCACTGGGAGGGAACTCATGTGTGAGACTGTAAACATAGCCAAATACACACGACTAGAGAGGTCATAGATCCTAGAAAAAAACCTACTTTTGCCACATCCCTAGACCACTGTCATTTCTTACTTTTTTCTAAATATGTATCCTACAGATAAGTTGTACTTTTTAGCCCTCATCAACAAACCTTATTTTGTAACACATGAGACTATTACAGAATTCCAGAACTGCTCAGATACAGAGAATAAGTATTTATGAGATGCTTAACCCTAAGTGACACCTTTTCAGTGCAACTTCTACACTTAGGATGAATGCATCTCTTAACTTTCACTAGAGAAGTTTCCTTACGCAGCAGATGGTGATTAACACAGAAACCCACAATTGACCAATGTGCAAAGAACAAGAGGTTACAGAGTGCTTATCCCTGAATAGGACATCTCTTTCAGATGAGATCAGGTGTGTTCGGTGTGGTATGGCCGTAAACAGGACACCTATTTCAAACTTTGCCTCCCAAGGCTCATGGATCATTGTAGAAGAGGAGACAGAAAGATTGTAAGAGCCAGACGGTGGATGGCCACAAGAAACAAAGTCTCCTAGACAGCTGGTCATTTACTCATATGAGCTCACAGCAATAGTGACAGCATGCACAAGTCCCATGTAAGCTCAAACCAGACAAAATCTCAGCATAGACATGAGGAAGTGGGTAAGAAATCCCAGCCCAACCTAAGAAACTTTTGGCAATTGATGGCTACTGGGAGGGAGAAAGACAGTGTCTTACAGGGATGGGACTCTTGATAGACCCCGGGGATGGACCCACACTGAACATCTGAGGACACAAATCAGACTCTATAAGCTATACATATATGAGCTGATTAAATTGGACAGGGGGCAGTGGAGAGGTACAGAGAGGGGATTGTATCTAAATACCATCAAACTATATTGTATGAAAATCGCAAAAAATTCCAAAAACAAAAAAACCTGGAGCTGTAGTCCTCTCCTGTGAGCTACTGCTGTGATCCCCTTCTGTGAGCCATGGTTCCACATTCTTCCAGTGGTGGGCTGATGGTGGAGTTGACTGGAGGGTGGAGGCAGCAGTTTCAGCCTTCTCTGACTGGCTGCATCCCCACAACACCCTCCCCTGAGGTTCCAAATTGTGTATGGCAGTCACTTTGCCTCTGCGTTAGGCTTTATGATGGGGACAGGGAGGCTTCTGTCATTTATAGTTTCTAGTCTTGGGAGGACTGATTTTCTAGAATAGAATCTCACCTCCCTTGATGATCAGCTTGACTCCACACGTGGTCCTGGGCACTGGACCTCTCCTACTCCCAGGCACCAAAAGGTTTTCCATCATTTTTCTATTATTCTTCTACAGCCCCAGTGTACCTTTACCTGTGCCCTACAGAAAATGTAAAACATCTAATGGAACTTATATTATAGAAACAAAAATAATAATAATAATTGGACAAGGAATTGGGGAAGTTGGGGAGAATGATGTACACATTTAAAATACACGTGTATGAAATTGTCAAAGAATCAATAAAAATATTACATAAAAAATAAAACAAACAAAAAAGCATCATACCAGTCACTCAGCAGCTAACTTAAAGGACCATTAGCTGATCCTCTAACAACCATTGGCACAGAACCCTGCAAGATCATGTGACCTCCTTTTAGGTCCTGAGTCACCTCATTCCAATAGGAGAAGATGAAACCCAGGGGACATTTGTTCAAAGTCACACAACTTAGACACGACAGAGCAGAGCCTCAGATTCCACTGCCCCAGTCTCCTTGGTGACCTTACTGCTGCCTGCGCGTCCCCCAGGTTTCATGGCCCCCAGAGCCCCTCCAGCCTGCCTTCCTTCTCATCTCACACGCTCTGCCCTGGGACGCTCAGGAGCCCAAGCATTATTCAGAGCCCTTTGCACTTCTTCGACCAACAGCCCCATAATACTATTACTGCTGATGGCTTTTCATTCCCCATGCCAAACCTGATTTGGAGTTCACAAGGCTGAGGGTTTCAATCCCAGCTCTGTGGACAGGCTCTGGGAGCCCTAAGTGACTGTAGCTTACAGACAATCCAATTGTTATTGACATTTGTGTTGGATTGTTCATCAGGCTGGGACTGTCTTGCAGGCCAGATCATTCTATTAGCTGGCCCCCTTTCAGTCTCCCTGCTAACGACAAAATACGCACACGCCATCACAGCAGGCCAATCAATCGCAATATCACTCCACATCTATCAGAGTCGCTTTTGTGGGCTCTGCTTTAGGGACAGCTGGGGGCAGGGGGAGAGAGATCCACAGAAGAAGAATGAAGCTAAATTCTTATGTAGTGAGTCTGAAATGACAACAGCTGCTGAAAACAGAAGAGGCTACATTGCAAGACAGACTGATGATGATGATGGTGATGATGATGATGATGATGATGATGATGATAGAAGAGAGATAGATGACAGAGAGATGACAGAGAGATAGAAGATAGATAGATGACAGATAGATGATATACAGATGATAGATAGATAGATGATAGATAGATAGAAGATAGATAGATAGATAGATGATAGATAGATAGATAGATAGATAGATAGATAGATAGATAGATGATAGATAGATAGATAGATAGATAGATAGATAGATAGATAGATGATAGATAGATAGATCAATGATGATAGATAGATGATAGATAGATAGATAGATGATAGATGATAGATGATAAGATAGATAGATAGATAGATAGATAGATAGATAGATGATAGATAATGATAGATGATAGATATGTTGATAGATGATAGAAGATGATAGATGATAGATGATAGATAGATAGATAGATAGATGAATAGATGACAGAGAGATAGATGATAGATAGATGATATAGATAGATATACAGACAGATGATAGATTCATAGATTCATAGATAGGTACAGAGACACAGAGATACATGGATATATATAGAGAGATAGAGAAGAAAAATGGATAGATACAGAGATGGATGGGTAAATAGTAGACAGATAGATGATGATAGATGATGCATAGATAGGTAAATGATAGACAATACATGATAGATGCAGAGATACAGAGATGGATAGATGATAGATACATAGATAGATGATTGATAGATGATGATAGATAGATAGATAGATAGATAGATACATAGATACATAGATGATTGATAGATGATGATAGATAGATAGATAGATGATAGATACATAGATAGATGATTGATAGATGATGATAGATAGATAGATAGATAGATAATAGATAATGATGATGATAGATAGATAGATGATAGATAGATAGATGATAGATAGATGAGCAATGATGCATAGATAGATAAATGATAGATGATAGGCAGATAGATGATTCATAGATAAATGATAGATGATATACAGAGATGGGTGGATACATACATACATACATACATAGGCACATATAGGTACATAGATACAGAGATACATGGATACATAGATATATAGAGAGAGATTAGATCTAGAAAAAGATTAGAGAGGGAAACATTAAGAGGCCCATAACTTAACTCATCCAGCTCCATTGCATCTTGGATAATATGCAGCTTTATCTGGACTCACACCTGTGCTGGGTAAAGCTACCTTGATGACAAGGCCCCGACAAGCTCAGCTGTCCCTTCTGCTGCCCATGAAAAGCATTTTTGTTCATATACTGAATCTTGCCCCTTCCCTGTCCTTGAATTCATGTTCCTAGTCCTCCACAGGATCCAACAGGCTACGCACTGGATCCTGAGAGAGCAGGAGCTCCCGTCCTCCCTAAGGGCTGACTGCACACAGTTCAAGTGTACACACTATTCCTTGTCAGTTCCAGTGACACAGCTCAGGAAGGCCAAGGTCGTCCTGCGGGAGCGCATGGCTCCAGCCCCACGTTCTTGGACTCTCAGCAGTCACAAGGCCTTTCGAAACGGCTGGCACAAGTGACTGGTCACCATGGGAACTTGACAATGACCTTGGTTTTTACAGCAACAGGAATGAATGAGCTCAAAGCCCAGGACTCTTCTGGGTTCAAATAGATGAAAGCGAGCTAATGGAAATACAACTTGCTACCCAGACTGCAGAAAGAGCAGCGTCAAACAGACCCACAGGTCGGTCTTGGTTGGGCTGTCGCACAGAACTGAGGCAGCCGTGGACCTTCTTGAATCTCTCCCTGTGCTCTTGTTCTCTCCTCCACGTGGGCAGGACAGCCCCCAAGCAGATCTACTGGTGGGACAATTACTTGGGCCAGCACTCTGAGTACTGGCATGTCGTGTCACCCAGAAAACTTTCAAACAAGTACCCAAAATTCATCTGATGTGGGAAGAGGGCTGGAGACCTGGTGTCCAGCAGAGCCGAGGGTTGGCCCATTACAACACTCGTGTGTCGGGGCCACACGTTCTTCCAAAAGAGCAGCTAAAATGAAATGCATCGGGTCATCTAATCTTTCTCAGATTTCAATGTCTATGTGCGTATAAAGCAACATTCAGTGAGTGCTTAACAAATGTACGAAGCTTTCATCCACACTCGTGCATGAGCGGAATTCTTCACACAGCAGAGCCCAGCTAGACGCAACTGCAAGCGGGTTGTTTTCAGTTGTTAAAGATATATATTCTCTTCTAGTTTTTTTCTTTTTTTTTTCCTTCTCATTATGTAGCCCAAGCTGACCTGGGACTTGATATGCAGACAAGGCTGGCCTCAAACTCACAGAGATCTGCTTGTCTCTGCCTCCTGAGTGCTAGAATTGAAGTCATGCACCACAATATCCGGCTTTAGTTTTTTCTTAACATGAGTGCCTAATTGACTTTTTCACTTGTCCTTAATAAAGTTTGTGTGTTGCATTAAACAATAAAAAAAAAACCCAGACCCACAATACCTAGAGTGGGTGAGGATATGGAAGGATAAAAGACATCACACTTTATAACTGCAAGAAGTGTTATGGGATGGGTTGTGGGTCCCTCCAGAATGATCTTCATGTGCAGTCCGAACCCTCAGCACTCCAGGATGCATCTATACTTGGAGACAGTGTCTCTAAAGAGGTGAATGTGTTGAAACGAGACCATTGAAGGGAAGGTAATCCAACATGACCGCTTCCCCAGAAGAGACGATGTCAGGAAGTAGGTATTCTCAAAGAGACAATTCGAAGGCCCAGAGGGAGCCAACCGCAAGCCAGGGGAGAGAAGCTGATCCAGTCAGCACGTTCACCTCAGCACCTATCCTGAGAGCCACAAAACCTGAGTGCTTTGTCACAAAGCCCCGAAAACTAAGGAGAGGGCTGCAGAGTGAGCTTAATGAGCTTTTTGTGATGCTAACCATGCACTTATAAACACAGCCTGGAAATTTCATTCCCAGGTATGTAGCCAACAGAAACTAAAACTTGTGTTTTCACAAAGACCTAAATCTGAGTATTTATAGCATCATACGCCCAGCATTCTGACACATTGAAACAAGCCGAATACCCGTTAACCAATGAATGCACAAACACATTGTGGTATGTTTATGTAATGGAATATTACACAGCAATAAAAAGGATGAAACTACAGGGCTTACAGAAAGGCAGATGAATCGCAAAGCATTTATTATACGGAGTGAAAGAAGCCAGGCACCAAAAACTGCACTGTAGTCATTCCGTTCTCAGACAACATCCTGAAAGCATTAAATCCACAAGAATAGAAGGCAGATCAGTGGTTCCCAGGTGCAAGAGACCAGAGGACGAAACTGGGTGCTGAGGAGCACAGCGGAGTGTTGTGAATGGTTGCCATGTTCTGTTTCTTGGTTAGAGGGATGAATGCATGGAAAATTCACCAAACTGTATCCTTGAAAGAGTAAATATTTTATGGTATATGAATTATAGCTAAATAAGCTTGACTTTCAGAATAACTATAATGGGGCTGGAGAGATGGATCAGCATTTAAAAGCACTGACTGCTCTTTCAGAGACCCCGGGTTCAGTTCCCAGCACCCACACAACAGCTAACAACCCTCTATCACTCCAGTTCTAGAGAAAGCAACGCCCTCTTCAGGCCTCCGTGGACATTTCATGCACATGTTACACTTGCATACATGCAGCCAAAATATTCACACACATAAAACAAAAAAATAAATTTAAAAAACAAAATGAATCAACAATGATGAGCTGTCTTTTCTTTAACCCAAGGAACAAGACTTTTATTTAGTTGATAATACCCAGTATAGGGAAGGTACAAGAAAAGAGGTGCTCTTTCCTAGTTTGTGTATAGTATATACATATTTGAAATTGTCAAAGGTCAAAGATAGCCCTTCCAAACACTGTTGGATGCTAAAATTAGAAAACTTTCCAAGCTGGGATAGTGGTACATGGCTATGATCTTAACACTTGGGAAGCCTAGAGGACCAGGGTGTAAGTACCCAGCCTCAAAAATAAATTAATGAATGCTGGGAATGGAGCTCAGTAGATAGCGTGTCTGCCTGGCATGCACAAAGCCCTGAGTTCCATTGCCAGCACCACATAAACCAGGCCCAAGTCTGAAATCCCAGCACTCGGCAAACAGAGGCAAGGAGGATCAAGAGTTCAAGGTCATCAATGCCTAAGAGAGGGGGGGGGGGGGGGACTATGGCAAAAACAAAAACAAAGTCACCTTTCCGGAATATAAATGACATTTCTCTATCACAATGTAAGATGTGCATTTTTTTTTTTTTGATCTACATTTCTACCTCTAGGAATCCATGATAAGTGATCTTTCCTTTTTCCCAAGAAGTAGGTTATTGCTTCTTGTAGTCAGCCTGAGAACACAGTCCAGAGATGGGCACCCAAAGCCCCAGAGAACACAGGCTATTGCCAGTCCTCCTGGGTGCCCACCAGAATTAGATGATAAGGCCCTATTGCTAAAGACGCCACACACTTTGGTTACAGGGCCAGGGGAAATCAAGCTGGAATTGACCTAGAAACTTCTACCCTACTGGCTAGCTTTCTTAGTGTCAAGAGGTGATATGCAGACTAGTTGGGAGAAAAACATCAACGGCATTACCCAGTGGCAAACCCGCCATGGTACAATACCAACCTGCCAGGCAAGGTGTACCCACTGGTACAATAGTGGCATGACTGGTATGAGAGTAACCAACCACTTTCTGATTGGAATTGAGGCCTGCTCCACTGGAGGGAATTCATACCTGGTACTGTAAACCTGGTCAAAAGCACATGACTGGGGAGATCATAGGCCTTAGCAGGGAAACCTAATGTTTTGCTAAGTGCTCATGTTGTCAAAATGGCCTCTAAATATTTATGTCCACGTCCATAGTTTAGTGTTGTTCTCAATCTTGGTCCAAAAAGCTTCTTTTTTGCAGTGGGCAGCAGTCAATGCAGGGACTCATGGCTGGTCAAAAGTGCTGAGAATAAGCATCTGTGAGTGCTCAGACCTAAAGAGGACATCAATGTCAACCCCACCCAAAGCTCAGGCAATGTGGTAAAAGAGGGAGACAGAATGAAAGAACTAAGGATGGGGAGGAGCGTTGTGAGACGCTGTCTTCTAGACAGGACGTGACTGTTGCACCCATGAACTCACAGAAACTATAGTGATCTGCACAGGGTCTGCACAAGATTAAACTGGTCAAAATTCCAGCACAGATGGGAGAGGAGCTCATGAGGCCCCATCCCTAACTGAAAAGCTATTGGCAATTGACAGCTACTGGGGAAAATAGAATCGTTTTTCTTCAAGAGTTAAGTTGATAGTGATATTTAAATAATCCCACCCCCATGCCCATGCAAGAAACCTTAATTAAACTCACTGGGTTATTTTTAAAAAAGAGACATGAAATTAGGAAGGGGACATGGTGGAAAAAGAGGGGTTCCACCCAGAGTTGAAGGGCAAGGGCAGAATGGGGCCTGAATATGATCAAAATATAATATATACATGTATGAAATTGTCAAAGAATAAATTTAAAAGTATTTTTAAAACCAAATAACAAATTATGCTTTGTTTTGAAGATACCCAACTGTTGATATGGTTCCCTTCAGAGAGGAAAGGAGGAAGCCGGAATAAGAGGAAGGGGCCTTGTCCCCTTTTACTCAGTATTATACTGTCTGGCTTGAATATCTCTAGAGAAGATGAATTGATACACAGTGCCATGTTTATTGCTAACCTGAGGGGTCAGAATTCCCATTTTCATAAATAATAAAATACTTCTCAGTCCACTATCTTAGGTAAACTTTGGTTTGATTTGTTGAGACAGGGTCTCATTATGTAGCCTAGGCTGGGCAGAAACTCACACTCCTCCTGCCTCAGCCTCCCATGTACATGACTCAGAAGCATGCCCAACCATGCCCCGTTTTGCCCTCTTCTTTAAACATTCCTTCCACGGCTCACTTCTCTGACATTTGCACTCGTTTCGAACAAACTCTTCATCAGAGTAAGGCAAATCTGAGGCAAAATAAGAATGATTGCTTTTGTTATTTTGAGAAAAATTCTCTTATAACCCAGGCTGGCTTCTAATTCACTGTGTAGCTGAGGATAACCTTTGACTCTTGATCCTTCTGCCTCATCTCTCAAGAGCTGGGATTACAGACTTGTATTACCACCCTTGACTAAGAAATTCTCTTTAAAAAAAAAAAAAACGTGCGTGTGTGTGTGTGTGTGTGTGTGTGTGTGTGTGTGTGTGTACATGTACCATGGGTGCATGCCTGTGGAGGTCAGAGGCGGACGGTGGACAGTTGAGTGTCTTTCCTCTGTGGTAATCCACTCTCTTCCTTTGAGGCAGTATCTCTGGCTGAATCTGCAGCTCCCGGTTTCAGCTAGGCTGGCCAGTCAGCGAGCTCCTA